TGGCAGGCTTAGAAAAGCAGGTAGGGCCCCAGAGTAGACATCCAGTGCACGGGTTATCAGCATGTTTAAAAGACTCTGGAGCAAAGGAAGTTTTAAAAAAGTTGACGGAAAACATTAAATGGTCTGTTTGAAAAGACCCAGCCCTAGCCAAAGTAAAACTGACAGATCTATCCAGGACCAGGGTATAAGCAACCAATGTTTTAAATTTTGAAGGTAGGGGGCAGGGGTTAGCGCAGCAGTGCTGCACCTGCCTGGCAAGCGCAAGGTCCTGAGTTCAATTCTTGGTACCCTTTGAATATATTGTTTTAGTGTAGTGTTCGGAACTGATGTCACAAACATTATTGTACCCTTTATATCTGGTATAGATTTAGCTATTGAAAATACTCCTCTAATATTTCTTCTTTATTTGTTAAGTGTGGTGCTCAATATCTTTGTGTTATTTGAGGGAGGATCAGGTTCTGTTGTGTCCCTGCCTACAGATCTCACGCATTTTCTACTAACCTCAGCAGAGGAATAAACCTTATAACACACTGCAATAATTAGATGGATCCATGGGAGACTCTCGAGCAACTAGGCAAGTATTTCCACAGGAATATGCATGTGCTGTTGCATTGGTAATAATACATAGGTAGAGTAATAATACATTGGTAGAGTAATAATACATTGGAAGAGTTTGACAGTGGTAAAAAATCCTCAGTGATATGATCATATGGAGATTGTGCAGGTAGACAAGGAAAAGGAGAGCAGTAAAGGATAGGTTATCTTGGGCATCTTTTCCAGTGACATGTCCTGACCTCCCTTACAGTGAGTCATTAGAGGCCATCCCATTGAACATCTCCACCTTCCAGGTAGGGGCATGTGTGGGCATCCATCATAGCAGGAGTCAGAGGATGTCCATAGGCATTGGTAAGTGATGGTGGGGTCCATGCATGTTGATGTGGCTTTATTTTAGGTGCAGGAGCCAAGGTAAGGGAGGAATGTGAAAGCCAATTCAGCACATATGAGTTTGTTGTCAGATGCAGGAAAATGAATGTAGAGGGATCTGAGTGTCTTGGGATTGCTTTTTCCTGGTCCAGTGACATTGTTGTGGACCAGTGTTCTAAGCACAAAGCACAGGAATCTAGAGAGTTGAACATTTGATGAGGAAGAGTGTCTGGTGATGACAGTGTTTCCCTTGGATTAGTTCTAGTATCAGGGTCAAATGAAGGCCTCTGTGGAAGTCCTGACGGACAAGAAATTTGCCAGGTTTTCTTGTATAGCAATGTATGTGAAGAACAGGATTGTTAGACTTCCCTTAAGGAAAGTATATGCAGAGAGAGAGAAAACCTTTCCGTCAAGATTGCTGATCATCAGGCAGTTCCTAACATGGATGTAGCCTCATTCTCAGAGGCTCATGTTTCTTAATGAGGTCAGAAAACAGGCTCGGTGCAGCATGTTGTTGGCAGTATTGTAACTGGGTATCCTGGGAAGGGCCCCATGCTCACCAGGTCTTGTGAAATGTTACTGTGTTCAGATATAGGACACTTCTATTTTCTGAATATACACTGGAGGAAGCTATGTTGGCAGCCTTGTCTTTTGTTTGCTGTTTGACATGTGTGACACAAAGGTAGAACAAGAGACTCTTCCCAACCAGTAAGTTCCTCATTTTCATGTAGGATTGCAGGTCACTAAAGTTGTTTCCATGCTCACTGTGGAATATGGAGAGGCAGAGATTCTTGTCAATTTCCAGATTTCTACAACTGGTCCTACTGACTTTGGAGGTTCTCCAGGTTTCTGTTGGAGAAATGAAGGTGTCTTTTACCAGGCTTT